ACTATCTCCAGGTAATAAATAAACTATACGAATAATGCAATACTTACTGACATATTATTTAGTAGCCTATAGAAACTATAAAATATATTTCCTGCCTTATTCTGTGATAAAAATGGGGAAAAGGTGCTCATAGTAGCCTTTATAAACCGATCATAAAATTGTCATTAGGAAAATATTGAACAAAAATATAACCTAACCTTACTTCCACAAACAGCAATATAAACAACCGCTGTGCATGCTCTCTTCACAAAGTTCTTGTATAATAAAAATTATAATTTAATATTATAAGCAGGGTGCGATTTGTGAAAAAAAGCAGAGGGGTGGATGATTTTGAAAACTTTTTTCTCTCTCCATAGGCGGAGGTTGACCCAACTCCAGAGTAAGGCTTTAAAGCAACCTAATGTTAATGTAATCTGTTAACAAAGCACATCACAAACCCGTCTTTTTAGGCAAGTACCAGCTAATGTGTGTCACGTCATGAAATGTTTTAATACGACGCAAACTGTAGGCTAATTATCGTGATCACAATTTAATAAAAAACATTAATTAATTAATGTTTAAATGCCGATTAATTATTTAATTTCCACGGTTATTCAAACAGCTGATAAATTATATAAGAAAGTGAGCAAAGAACATTTACAGTATCAACAGAGCTTTTTGAAACTTCGAATCAGTTAAACCATTGCGTCGCAAAATGATTTACTGGTTTGAAGCGCTCAAATCGGATCGCGGATCGCGAATCATTTGATTCAGATCTGGACTTCGGCACCGTTCGTGGGATGTTTTTTTATCCCCACCAGAGATAAAAATAATTCAGCAGAGGCAGGGATGCATAGACCAGAGGTGGGGAAATCCCCCCCCATCCCCCCGGCAAATCGCACCCTGAATATAAGTATACAAGCACACCGCTCCGCTGAGAACTCCACTTACCGGCAGCCACAGATGTTATGAAGGCATCTTGGTAGCGCGCTAAATTAAAGGTGTCTGAACGTGAAGGATCGTCCTGGATGAGATCATCAAGTGAAAGGTCATCATCATGTGGATAATTTTATTTACGCTAAATTATTATTCATTCAATTTTACTAATAGTTAGATTGGGCAGGCCTTCACAAAATGGCGTTTAATTACAAAATAAAAAAAATTGCTTAGACAAAAGGGTACTTTGGGCATCAAGGGGAAAAGGGGCAGGTGCTCAAGCACCCACCGCACCCCACTCTGCACATGCCTGGCCCCTGCTGGCAGTTCCAGATAGCTCCGCCCTTGTGCCATAGCTCGTGACCGGAAGAGTAGAGGAGTCGTTTTGAGGGGGAGGGGAGGTTAACGTTTTTGATTAAAGATTACGAGGGCACATGAATTAAAAAAAAATAATGAAGTGCATGGATAAATTATTTATAATAAACATTACAGTATTCCATCAAAAAATAAGAATTGTCCATTTTGATTTTATGCCGACTTTAAAGGGGTCATATGATGCTGCTAAATAGAATATTATTTTGTGTATTTGGTGTAATGAAATGTTTTTATGCGGTTTAAAGTAAAAAAAACACATTATTTTCCACATACTGTACATTATTGTTTCTCCTCTATGCCCCACCTTTTTGAAACGCGTCGATTTTTACAAAACTCATCATTCTGAAAAAGCGAGGTGTGCTGTGATTGGCCAGCTATCTAGAGCATTGTGATTGGCCGAATACCTCAAGCGTGAGACGGAAATGTTACGCCCCTCACATACTGTTGATGCCCTGTCCGGCCGAAGCGACCAGACAAAAACATTAAAATCCATTACAAACGAGGCATTTGTTGCATCCAGTGGGGACATAATTACTGATTATAATGACTTATAGTGTCTTTTTACGCACTGCGTTGCATCGTGCCGCGTAAACATAAAACCCTGTCTGCATTTGTGATCGGAGAAATGACCAGTGTTGGGGATATTGTCCTCTTTTGGAAGACCAAACAAAGTAGTTTCGCTTTCACAACGAAGCACACAGCGTCTTCAGGACATGGAGGCAGCAACAACAATACTACAGCGAGAATAAAAGTTACACCTTCTTTCTTTGCGTGAACATTTGGGCGGTGTTATGCAAATCTTCCCACATAGTGAGGTAGATATGTGGGGGGCGTGTTCGAACGAGCCGCTTTAGGGGGGTGTGGCTGACTCTTAACTTTTATAAAGAATATCTCTTTGGATTTGAGACTTTAGTTTTTGCAAATTTACAGATCTTCTTTATGCACCAAGAGCTTGTAACACTCCAAAGAGAAAAGAAAAAATTTAATCGTATCATATGACCCCCTTTAAGACCCACGGAAACCCTAAAGCAGCTCGGAGCAGAGACCAGCGCTGTGTAAGAGGCCACCGTCTCCCCCAGGACACTGGAGTAAAAGCAGCTTACAGCTCCATATTCATTATTTACATCTCTCTCACTATGATTAATTCACAGGGGGCAGGTTTACTTAGAAATAAGAGGCAATAGTAAATCATATTCCTAGAACCTTGTCATGTGTAGTGGAGGTTATATGATCTATGGTTGCATCTTACATCACTGGTGTCACTGCATTGTAGTTAACAGTGTGACAGCTTGTACGGTCCGGTATAACATGACCTCAAACAGGCTACTGTTACACACTGCTCAACGATGTACAAGCATTTGTATTCCTGAGAGCAGAGCATTAAAGTCTGATGGATTTAGAAGATATAAAAGTTTGACACTGCATGTGCTTAAAATAACTTCATTTAAATGTAAGACGCCAATAACAACATTATTCATTATCAATGCTATTAGTGCACTACCAAGAGCACTCTGAGTGTGACTAAAACTCATGGATAATTTCTTCAAGCAGACTGTCTGACGTAAGCTTGGTAGGAAATTAATTTTTCACATTTTAATGCAAGCACTTCGTCCTCTTCAGTCAGTCAGACACTCTTGCCATCTAACATCAGTCCTGTCACTATTTCAACCCTACATTAGAGGTTTTCAACTTTGGGGTCAGCAGACATGCAGGTGGGGTTGAGAGAGATAGCTGGTATAATCTTAAAATGTTTTTTATAGCTGCAGTCTAGACCTATAAAATATGCAGCTTCTCTTATGCATAAAATCATGGTAACTTTTAAAACAGGAAGAGGAATATAGGCGACAATGTGACCTGTGATGCAAAGGTGAACTCCGTTTACTCACTCCCATACATCCTGGAAAGAATTTTGGTTTGCAAACTTTTTCATATTCATATGACTAGGTCAAATTCATATAGATTAATTTTACAAATGTCTTTCTCAGGGTTTCTGTAGGTTTTATAAAAATTAATTAAGGACTTTATGACCAAGTAAAGAAAATGCAAGGAAATTGAAGGGAACGCAATACACCAACATGGTCTTGTACTTCCAATAGATCTCCATTACTTTTATCATCATACATCATAATAGCTCTGCTCAAAACAATAACTTTTACTGTACCTTCTGATCACACAGCAAAAAAGTGATGTTCTTCCACAATATTTTCGTCTTGTTTTCTAATTAAATGTTCCAGTGTCAAAACATCCTTAAATCAAGATACTTGAGAAGCAAAATGGCAAAATAAGACATCTTTTATATTAGAAATTGACCAAAATTAATTGACTTTATGATTAAAACAAGAACAAATATATGCTAAAATCAACTTGATTCAAAGAGAAAAGTTATTTTCATAAAACACTGACATATACTTTGTCTGATATTTGTTCTTGTTTTACACAAACTCACTTAATTTGGTTTATTTTCTCAGAAAACAAGACTTCATATCGTAATTTTGCATTTCAAGTAAATGTATCTTGATTTAAGGATGTTTAGATATTTGTTCTTGAATAGACTTCTCTGTATTTTTGTTTTGTTTACTTTTTTTTGCAGTGCAATTTAATGCCATGATTTTGAATTTAAGACTCTGCTCTGATTGAAGACCTTTTTATGGCTTTAAATTGTGAAAGGGTGAATTAAGACTTTTTAAGACCCGCAGAAAAATTAACGTTTTGAAGCATGCAAATGTTAATTACATAAACTTTCAACAGATGGACAAAAATTAGGAGAATATTAATAATATCTTAATTTTGTGTTTTGAAGATGAACAGAAGTCTTTTGGATTTGGAATGCTAACTAAATGTTAACAAAATTGAAGTATTTCTTTAAAATCTAACAGATTCTGCTTTGGTAATTTTATAAAATTTTCTATAGAAGCTAGGGCTGGACAATATGGCCAAAATTTATATCACGATATATTTCTTAATTTCGGTCGATACGATATAATTCCGATATCGATATGAACACTATTTATCTGAAATAGAAATCTTTAGTAACATTATAAATGCCTTTATCATCACTTTTGATCAATTTTAAGCATCCTTCCTAAATAAAAGTATTAATTTCTATAATTTATTTCCCAAAAAAATAATAAAAATTATACTGAATGGAATAGTGTATAATGTTACAAAAGCTTTTTATTTCAGATAAATGCTGATCTTTGGATCTTTCTATTCATCAAAGAATTGAAGAGTAATGATGCTGAAAATGTACCTATGTATGATCACCAGGAATAAATTACATTTTAAAATCTATTCAAATAGAAAGCAATTTTAAATAGTAAAAATATTTCAACATTTTACTGTTTTTGCTGTACTTTGGATCAAATAAATGCAGCCTTGGTGAGCAGAAGAGAATTCTTAAAAAAATTAAAAATAAAAACATAAAAAAATCTTACTGTTCACAAACTTTTGACTGGTAGTGTAGGCTGATTATTCTTATAGATTGAAACAAATGTGCTTCAGCCAGAAAAAGGGTATGAAAAGTGCTCCGAGTCGCTGCAGAAAACAAAAAAATTTAACAACAACAAAAACTGGAAATGTGTTTAAAAATCATATCACCGTTATTGAAAAAAATTATATCGCGATACATATTGATATTGAATTATTGTCCAGCCCTAATAGAAGCTTTAACATCTGAGCATAAAAGTGTCTCTGTTGTCATGTTTCCTGACCTTAGAGATGTCCTGACCATCGATGAGGATGCAGCCACCCTGCACGTCATAAAAACGGAAAAGCAAACGGATGATGGTGCTTTTTCCTGATCCGGATGGACCAACCTGTTAAATAAGACATTAGCAGGGGTGAATGAACATCTTGCTCCTATGCACACTATCTCATTCTATAAACGTTTTAGTACACAGTATTCACGAATGAACAATTTAGATGTCATTTTACCAGTGCAACTGTCTGACCAGGCATCACTGTGAATGAGACTTCACTGAGAATTTCTTTCCTGTAGACAAAAAATAGGAAACAAAATTTCAAAGATGCTAACTCAAAAACATATAGACGTCAAAAGCACTGTTCTCCAACAACAACAAAAAGTTCATAATGACATTAGCATGACTCACCCAGCAGTGTAACTAAAGCACACGTTCTGGAAATCAACCCTTCCTTCTATGAACAAAAGGTCTCCTGCATTCACATCATCCTTTACCTACAGCAGAGGGCAATTTTGGCATGTACCACAGGACACACGTAGAAAAGCATGGCACTGGGCTGACAGTGAATTAAGCAAACCTGAAGAATGCATTAAAACTGAAACCATGGCAAAAATACTGAGGTCTCTTTCAAGTCAAATTCAAGAATCAGTTTGCAAATTATCTCCGACAGCTTTTTGGAGTATATAAAAAGAAATGTGAAGATCAAATAAGGGTTTTAGTAAGATTATTTGCATATGAATAGAATCTAAAGGGACTGTGAGTGTCGAGGAATGGCCGGCTGTTGGTTGTGTGACTTTGAGGAGAGGATTCCCAAAGGACAGGGGTAACTTGAGTAAGTGCAGGAGGTCATGACAATAAATCAACACTCACTGGTCAACAAGACCAACACGGGCACGTCCAGAGGGGCCGCAATGGGGCTCCTAGGAATTGACTAGACCAGTACTTGTTCTGTGCAAACTGATTTAGATTTACGGATTTATAAAAGATTTATCTTTGGCTTGACTACTAAATGACTCAAAAGTGGCCACAGTGGCCACTCACCTCTTTTTCCTCTGTTAGCAGTTCAAACATGCTCTCCATGTCAACAAATGCACTTTGGATCATTCTGTGAAAACATAATAGTAAAACAAAATAAGTCAAGGGAGAAACAAACAGAAAAGTCTGGCAATTGCCAAAACTGTAAATATATAAACAAGAAAAATAATAAATGAATCTGGCCACAGATAATCTTCCTCTAAGCTTACCTATAATATGTACCAAACCAGTTGAGTGGAGTGTAGAGCTGAATAATGTAGGTTCCAAAAAGAACATAGTCACCAACCTATTATAGGAACAACAAAATATGCTCAGGACCAATCATTAAAAAATAATACGATTTCATAATTTTATGAGTGGCGATTATTGTACTTGAAACTTGTCCACTGTAACATAGTATGCACAAAGCAGGGATCCGGCCAACAGGCCAAATCCAATAATCAGGTTCTGAGTTTGGTTCAGGAGAGCCAGGGAAGCATTGGTCTTCCATTCACATGCCTGAACACAAAGAGAATCCAACTCAGCATCTCTCCACTCAACAGCTTATAAAGTCCAAGTATGTTAAGTGATCGCCATTACCTGATATTTCAGGATAGCATCCTCAAAGCGCCTGACTTCAAAACCCTCTGAATTATAGTACTTTACCTGAATAGAGACAGATTTTGTAATATTTCAATGTTAATACTGTTAACAACACTCCATGGCCAACCTAGGGCAACTTGGCTATGGCAGTTTGTCCCTTACGGTTTCAAAGTTGAGAAGAGAGTCCACTGCTTTTGACTTGGCAATGTTGTCCTGTGTGTTCATTTCCCGCCTGTACTTGGTCCTCCATTCAGTGATAATGATGGTGATAGCTGAAAACAAAAGTCAAAACTGAACTAGACATCGAAATGTGCCTGCTGACTGCCATATCCTATAGAAACATGCACTAACAATTTCAAAATTATGACTTTGAAACTATTATTGAGAACACTGCTGTGTACTGATATCAGGATCTGTAATATTTACTGAAGAGATCTTTACTTTTATTTTGAAGTACATATTCATTTGATCAAAAGTTACAGTAAAGACATTTATGTTATAAAATATTTCAAATCAATGCTGTTTCCACAAAAAAAATAATTAAGCTAAGCAAAATGAACTGTTTTTAACACTGATATCAGCATATTAGAATGACTTCTGAAGGATCATGTGACACTAACGACTGGAGTAATGGCTGATGAAAATTCAGCTTTGCATCACAGGAATAAATTACATTTTAAAGTATATTAAATTAGAAAACTGTTATTTTAAATTTTAATTATAATAACATTTCACAATTTTAATGTTTTTTTCTGTATTTTTGATCAAATAAATGCAACCTTGGTGAACATAATTGAAAGTTTAAAAAACATTAAATAAATCTTACAATTTTCAAACTTGAACAGTAGTGTACTAACAACAACTTTCAGAAATGTGTGATTAATCACCTTAATAACAAAAATATCTAATATTAACAATTAATAATAAATATTAACAATTAAAACGACATTATAATTGTTCATATTTTAATCTATCAACATCAACAACATGGAAATAAGTGTGTTTGTGCTGCACTTACTGAGGTAGAGAAACATGCAAATGAAAACAATGAGGCCGAACCAGGCACTGAAGTACGTCACAAAATAGATGATGGCAATGATGATGTCAGCAATAGTGGGTACAATGCTGAACACAATATAGCTGTAAAAGAAATCAATGAACATTTAATTTAAACATGGAAAAAAAGAGTTGTCAACCATTTTACAGCATAGCATATTTAAGCATGGTGATTCTAAAATCAAAGAAAATCATCAGACCTTAACAAGTTGTTGACTGAGGAGGTTCCACGGTCAATGCTGCGCAGGACATCTCCGGTGCGGCGGCCCAGGTGCCAGCGTAGAGAGAGGTCATGCAGGTGAGTGAAAAGACGGACCTGCACCACACGGCTGGTGTACTGCTGGACATAAGTCCACAGGAAGCTGCGCAAGTTACTGACAAACCCTGATGTCCCTGAGGGGAGAGAGACAGTTAATGGTTTGTACAGAATAAAACAAGCTATAGTGTTTAAAAGAATCCTTACAATATGACTTTGAATGTCAACCCTCACCTACCCCTCCGCCCTGTAAGAACTTAAGGAGGACGTAAACACAGACCGTGATGGCCAGGGCTCTCCAGCTCTCCATCGCTGACAGCTGGTTAACTAGAATATTATAATTGCAAAAATACAGAGAACAAATGAATGCATCTACTTCTGCTGGCTCAAAAATGCACGTGATCTTCAGAAATCATTCTAAGATGCTGCTTTTGTGCTCAGAAACATTTCTTATTAATGTCAATGTTGACAACAGGTGTGCTGCTTAATATTTTTGTGGAAACCATGGTACATTTTTCATGATTCTTTAATGAAAAGAACGTTCAAAAGAACTACAATCATTACAAATGGTTTTATAGGCACAGAAATAATATAAAAAACAACCTTACTGACCCTAAACTTTTGAACAGTAATATTTTTGCTTAACTATCCATTTAATTGTATGTACTGTACATCCCCAAGGCTCTGTGTAGGAAGCACATACTGTGAACACACTCAAGAACTTAAGGAGGACGTAAACACAGACCGTGATGGCCAGGGCTCTCCAGCTCTCCATCGCTGACAGCTGGTTAACTAGAATATTATAATTACAAAAATACAGAGAACAAATGAATGCATCTACTTCTGCTGGCTCAAAAATGCACGTGATCTTCAGAAATCATTCTAAGATGCTGCTTTTGTGCTCAGAAACATTTCTTATTAATGTCAATGTTGACAACAGGTGTGCTGCTTAATATTTTTGTGGAAACCATGGTACATTTTTCATGATTCTTTAATGAAAAGAACGTTCAAAAGAACTACAATCATTACAAATGGTTTTATAGGCACAGAAATAATATAAAAAACAACCTTACTGACCCTAAACTTTTGAACAGTAATATTTTTGCTTAACTATCCATTTAATTGTATGTACTGTACATCCCCAAGGCTCTGTGTAGGAAGCACATACTGTGAACACACTTCTGCTGTTTTGATGAGTGTGTGCAGGGCATCTTCCCTTTAATCACACATAGACTATAAACTTTAACATCCTGAGTCATGAATAACCACATGACTTCAGTTCAATACACCAAAATTTAACAGCTGCCCAAAACGGCCATCTCACTGACTTATACGTGAATTCACAACAACAAAAACAGAAAGAAAAAAAAATCCAAAAGGATGCAGTCTGAGCCAGGAGCCACAGCATAATGTATCTAAAGAGAACACACTGGTCTGTCCTGGGAGCTGAGAAAGATCCTCAATCTGATTCATTTACATTAATGGCCGTTTTGATTGTGCACTCGGAATCAAATGAGGAAAGAAAAGGTGGAGGGTTGAAGCAAAAAAAAAAAAAAAAAAGAGAGGGAGAAAACCGATCAAAACAAAACAAGAAAATGCCAAGGGCAAAAGCAAAAACTCTCTTCCTCTCTGTTGAGCTGGGGGCGTAGAAATGGATGGTGAGAGAGCTGATTTTTATCCTTGGCATGGGGGCAGAGAGAGCTGCGGACAAAAAGGCCCTTGTACCAGCGTGTTAACTCTGCTAAAAGCCCCTAATGCCCCCTAATCGTGACTGGCAGGGTTGGTGAGTCAGCACAGCGGCATGTATTTTTAATTACTGCAAACAAATTCAAACATTTATTCCTTCACACACACACACACAAAAAAAGCTACTGATCATCTTTAAAAAAAACAAACAAACAAACAGCAGGTTGAGCAGCTCCCACCTTGCCAGGTAACAGGGCAAATGTTGAAAGCTGCTGTCCTCTACTGGTCATGCATGGTAATGCAAATCCTTTGGCTTTTTGTTTTATTTATTTATTTTTATTAAGGGGCCAGATTTGAACCTTTTAAATTATTTTCAGGGGTATTTTATTTTAAAGACATTTAGGTGTAATAGAACCTTCAAATAAACGTACTGAGAATCTGATAAAGTGATTTCCAGGTGTTATACTTACCTCTACAGTCAGTGCAAGTGATGCTTGCTCAGTTTCATTTTCCAGAGCGTCTTGTTTCGTGTGTCTTTTAGAGTACTTGTTTGCCATTGTTTGACTTCGTATGAAAAGGTAGGCTTTCAAAAATACAGTCTGAATGCATTATTCCATTGAAGTGTATTGCATTCTATGGACTTGCAGGGTTTTAAAGTGCATATGTGCGCGAATGCAGTTTTCGATTGATTATAGCGACCGTCTGTATTCAGCTGAACGGGAAACGCTGCGTGTCATATGCGCAGCATTCACATGACTGATAGACTTGTGGTCATGTGGCTCAGATGTTAAATGAAAACGCTGAAAAGGCTGTTTTCCTCTGTTAGGAGTTGTGAAAGAATAGTTTTCGTGCAGCAAATGTTGCTCGCTAGCGGTTTCTAAAACCAGATTCCTCCAGGGGGCGCTTGGCGGCTCAGAAAGGCAGTTAGCCCACTGAGTCGCCTTCAAAACAAAGACGTTTTTGTCTTACTAAAACTGTGTACTCTACAATAATATATATTTTTAAATCAATTCTAGTTCTAAGGAATGGTAACTGAAACACAAGTTAAGCAAGTTCTAAAATTACATCTGTAAAACGTATAACCAAGAAGTAATTCGAAAAGACTGTGATTAGTCCAATCTGACTAGCGCTGTGAAAAGTAACAAGAATCACATGACAGTACAGGGCCGCGTGCATCCGTAACATTTATTTATTATTATTTTTAAATTGAGTAAAAGTACAAAAGTACTTAGTGGATGCAGACGTTACATTTGTATTAATTTACAAATAAGAAATGATTTTGTCTCACCTCACTTTTTCTTTGTCAGCTAAAACAATGTTTGGAAAAATAAGTGAATAACAATGTGCTAATGCAGGCCTATATAAATTCACAAACATGACTGTCTCTGTACCAGACTCAAAACATAGCCTTCTGTTAGTATCGGTTCAGTATGAAATGCTTCTTCAAAGGCTGCAGTCAAATCTTAACAACTTGAGATGGTCTGTGAAGGCAGGAAATTACACCAAAGCACTTAAAAAGGAAAAGACTTTAATGAACAAAAATATGATTCAGTGAAACTGCGACTTGTTATAGCACTTGCATATCATTGCTCTCTTGTTGATTTTGATTGCTTCCATTGTTCTCGTTTGTAAGTGGCTTTGGATAAAAGCGTCTGCTAAATGACTAAATGTAACGCTAAATGTGAAAGAATCATTCAAAGATTTGTTCAACACACAGATTTACTCATGAACAATTAACATAGAGCAGTTCCTAACAGTGATGCTGACCTTTACAGACACCACTACATGCACGCACAGATGAGGAATATATATGTAAAACTGTAAATAAAGATGATAATGGTAATAGAGAAGCATAAAGTGCATGTAACATAGAGCTCAAGCTGCTCTAATTGACTTGCTGCTGATGCCAAGTGTTGTTTACATTTAAATGAGCCTCTACATTCGGTCAATAACAGCAGATTTAGTTGATTTTTGAAATCAACAAACTGTCCCTGAAGCCTGGAAGCTGATCACACGTGCTACAAGCTCTTCAACTCTACAGTTTGGTGAGTTTCATCAATTTGTCAAATTTGTAAAGTGTTTCTCCAGGCATCTTCATGGAGCAGCAGACTCGCCCCAGAAGAAGCAAGGCTCTTTCCACACACCTGAGGGGATTCTTGGTGTAGGGACAGTGTTGCCAACTGCTCTCAATTGAAAGTAGCTAAAACTGGTTAGATCAGGTTAGATCACACCTACAGCTGCATCTCTGCCAAAGCTCACAGACCCAACAGACTGGAAGAGCGCTACCTGAACAACTGCGGTCTTTCCTGACATCCGTCCAGCAGCCTCAGTCTCTTCAGTGGACGAGTGTCTGGGGTCTCTGTGTCAGCAGGAAGATCCCGTCTCCATCCACGGCTGCTGTGTGCAGGGCTACCAGGACATCTACCGCACTGTGGAGCCCATGATGAAGACACACTGTGGTCAACAGCATCCCTACAGCCTTGAGCTGGGGCTGAAGATCAAGCAGTGCCCGTGGGAGACGCTCAGCTGCCCTTCACTGCTGGAGACAGAGCAGCCAGATGGACGCGTCCTCATCACTGAGAGCTTCACAAGCAGCAGAAGCTTCGCTCCATGAATCCACGTGAACGTCAGTGAAGAACCCCTGCCTGAGCAACACTGAGTCATCACAGTGTCTCATGGAGCATCACACAGTGGGACCTACATTTGTAAATACTGTATATATTGTACATAGTTATAGAGTAAGTTTTATTTTCTAACCCTAGTTTTCATCACATTGCTGTGTGATTGTTTGGGTGTTTTTGGTGATTGTCAATGCAGTGTTTTATGGTCCTCCGTTGTTCTAATTGGCTTTTAGCACTTTGCTACATGGTTGTCAGGATGTTTTCGGTGGTTTCCTGTGTGTTGACTTGCATTTGCTAAGGTTTTCTGCACGGTTGTTAGCGTGTTGCATTGCGGTTGCTGGACTCCTCTGTTTGATTTTTATGCGTTGCCATGCGGTTGTCAGGATGTTTTGAGTGGCTGGTTGACATGCGGTTGTTTTTCAAACAGGGTTAGGGTCCCTCACGTGGTTTGCAGCTTGACGTGCTGTGATGGCTTGTGTGCCTCAGTAATGCTGAGAGCTACGTCACTTCACAGCTACTGTAGTAGGGTCACCCATAGTGGACAGGTCTCAGCTGAGATGCCAGAAGAAGACAAACCACCTGATTCTGGACAGCAGCAGATTGGCCTGATGTTCCTGTCAGAGGATCACCATCTTCTGTTTACGGGTAAGTTGGATACATACAATATATGATAGTTGTCAGTTGGAGTTAGTTTCTTTCGCATGGAATTTGAAAATTCTGAAAATAATAATTAATCGGTCAAATATTTCATAAGTTAATCAACATTAATTACAGATTTTGGAAGTGCTAAAATTTTAGATTTACTTCTTTTAGCACCTTTAGCACCTTCTCAAGGAAAGAAAACAATGTTTTATTAACAGTTTTCAAACCGAGCCTTACTAAAAGTGAAATAAAACTAAAATGTAATGAGAAAGTAAAACTATAAAACAGACAAACACACAAACTAAACTAAACTAACACAATAGCATCAAAACAAAACAACATCAGAAGCTCAAAACTATAATAACCCTGTTATGTGGCTATGTGAGAAAATAATAACAATATAAATTCAAGTTGTCATTTTTCTAAATTTCATTTAATTTCATAATGTCTAATTATGTTTTAATTGATCTTTTTGCATTAAGACAAAAAACTTCAAATGTTTTATGTTTGCCCCTATAAAGAGATTTTGAAAAATATGCTTTTTTCTTTCCATATTAACTCATTGTGGTCTAATATTGTTGTGAAGACCTCTGTCTTCCATTATGTTTACAAACAAAGTTTTCCAAAAATTCTATCAAACATCATCTTCACAGAAGAAATTAGGTCATGGTTTGTAAGTAACGACATGAAGGTGAGTAAATAATGACAGAATGTTTTGACCGAACTGTCTCTAATGTCTTGATTTCCTGAAGGTCAGTTTAAAGAGGGATCTGCTTTTGACTCACAAACTGGATTCAGCACTCAGTTTTGAACATGATATCGACCTGCAAACTATTTTCAGGCTTGAGGTTAACAGTTATGAATAGGTTGTCAAAGATTTTAGAAGAGGAAACTTGTCTTTGTGTGTAGAAATGATCAGCCTCTGTTCAGTGAGGAAAGAATCTAACAGCAGAGTGTAGAGCATCACTACCTGTCATTACTGATGTCAATAATTGCTGCAGAATGACTGAAGAAAACAGCCATCTAGATGAACAGAGAAAGACAATTTAGACATGACTAAACTGGAGTTTTAGACTCAAAACCTTTAAAAAAAAAACATACAAAAACAGTATCAATTTATAACACTGAGACTAATTGCCCATAACATCCAAATTGACCAACATAACAGTCAAACTTTCTATACAATTGCCTTGTTCTATAAATGATTTCAAAAGCAATCTCATCAGTGGTTTCTTATACTCTATGTTTGGTAGATCAGTGAATGTATTCCGTTAATTCTAGCAGTTGTATGCTTATTTCATAATGTGTATCGCCTCCTTGTGGATACATGTTATTAATGCAGCTAAATCATCGGCGGCCTCCTGCGTATTCTACACTAATTTCAGTCTTCTTTTAGTTCAACACATATTTTGTTGAATTTAGCTGAATAAAATAGAAAGACTAGGTACAAACATCTGACAATAATATTATGTGTGACCTGAAAGTGATTAATAAATAAATTGTAAACAGCTGAGACGCAGTAGGCCTACACATGGGATTCGGCCAAAGCCTTCAAAGTAAGTCAAAAAAATAAAAAATTGCTCCGATACACAGAAAAGGAGAACAGTGGCCTTGTTTTTTTTCCTTTTCTTTTAAAAGGATGTCAATGGAGAAGAGCTTTCACTCCGCTGAATAAAGTGCATTTGTGGGAAAACAGCTGAGGCCTATCATTTAATGAATCAACAGTATATTGCTTATCTTCAGCATGTTTGCCATCATTCATATTGGATTGGTCTATTTTTAGAGTTCACACAGAAAAAAAAACAGCACTTCTCATTAATTTCAGTGGTATTCAAAACTGTCGCACTGTGAACTCTGATATCAGTGCTATGATGTGATTCAAGCCAATTGTATCTCCAAAAATAAGACCATCTGATTCATCTGTCTATGTGAGGAATCAGCTGGAATTGGTAGAGGAGAACATGTGAGCTGTAAATCGTAATGTCCTGTGTCTTTCAACTGGTCTGCTGTTCATATTATGGGACTAGGCTTTGTAGGGCCACTCCATGGTTTTAAATGGCATTTAATGGCAGCGCATGCTCAGGTTAGGCGGTGCATGCCTAATTTATCACCTAAAGAGTTAAAGGGGACCTATTATGCAAAAATCACTTTTATAAAGTGTTTGAACACAGTTGCACAGGTGTTTGTTCGCAGTATGTGAAAACAACCTGCCTATAATGTAAAAAATCCACCCACTCATTTTTTTTATAATACCAATAAATCATAAACTTATTGTTCAGATCGTCTATCTGAACGATCAGCTCCAGATTCATCCCTATGTACACATCACCATAGGGAAAAAGTCCCGCCCAATTGTGATGCTCTCTGCCCTATGAGCATAGACACAGCCCTGAGTGAGAAGCAACAGTCCATCATTACTGTTTTCTTGCTGTAACAAGTGTTGTGTTCTGGGATGCACCAAAGAACATAGCAGTCTCCATAGACTTCCTCCATCTGAGGACACTGTGGTTAAATTTAATTTTTGAAGGAAATATCCCGGGAAATAATCGGTGAAGTCCACTATATGTTTAGGGATCATTAACAACGCTTTGTACATGAACATCAGCTCCAGTCAAAGT